ATAATATTATAATATATAGTATTATAATATTTTAATTCTTTTTTGTACTCAATATATTGTATATGAATCAAAATTGCAATAATTTGATACATGCTTATTTATCTATCTACTTATCCATCTATTTGTCTGTTTATCTATCTACTTACATGTCTATTTGTCACGCTAAATAGTTCTGCTCAATTGAATCACATAAGTACAGTTTGTCCCTCTCTTTTTCTCTTTACGTTTTAAATTTATCTGATTTCATAAATTGCTAATTTCACATAAATAAAGTTGATTCACTGCGATAAGTTGAGAAACAAAGGAAAATATCATGATATTTAAATTTCTTCATAAATATAAGTGCATATGGCAAAGACTCTATCAATCACTGCACCTTCACTCGCATGCCAATCTTACAGGTTCAATGAAACACATGAGAACCGTTCATATCAGTGAACGATTCCCAAGTCTTTCACAATCTAAAATTAATTTCTCTATAATGTATAAATATTAAATTTATATTACTTCTTACATTTCTAATTTATTGCTTGATTTAGTATTAAAGCAAGCGCTATTAAAATAATGTTTGCCTCAATTGATTACGTTTGTCATAACTAACTTTAATTTTAAGTTATAATATTTATTATATATTTATTTAATATGTATTATACATGCTGTTTGCTACGTACATACTTATATGAACAATATGAAGTGATCCACGTGAGATATTTTTATCTATTATTAAATTTAGTATGTGATTAATTGATTTTTAATGTGTTTAATTGATTTTTAATGTGATTTTTATAATATTTACATATATGCATCCACATACATTAAAAATTGTTTTAAGTTTGTATCAATTAAATATACAAATGAGTACATATAATTAATAAACAATTTTTAACTTGGAAAAAACTATTTATTTGGAAAAAATATTTAAATTTCATGAAAAATATTAAATTTAATTAGTATAAATAATTACATGTGCAAAACACATCCAGTCCATTGTATTGTATTTACACAATTTTGTATACATATATAAATTCACATATATGACAATACGTACCGTATTCACATATATGACAATACGCACGTATACCGGTTCTAGTATAGACATTTCACAATTGTACAATGAAATGTGATTTGTGTATTCAGTGACCCCTTTATGCCCTCGTGATAGATTGTATTTAAAAATTGCAACTACAGGATATGTCGTGTGTTCAAGAAGAGCGATATACATATTGATGTTCCCGTGTCAAGGCTTAAAAATATCTAAATATATATGTATAATGAATCAATTGTGAAATCAGATCAATTTTCTTACAAGTCTCGACGCCGAAGAATGGGTGGCCGAAAACTTTTTAAGGACGCGGCCAAGAAAGCCATTGACTTTAACATGATTGAAAATAATGCATCATTATTTTATTTAGATATCTATTGACCAAAAAATTGGTAATACATATGTACGAAATACAAATAAGGAAACGTGATCAAAAGTTTATACTTAAAAAAAACTGAAGTACTAATGAAGTAAAAACCCAAGGACTCCTTACTATAAGAAAGATCTTTAAAGCAGAGATAAGATATTCTCATAAATAATTCGCGTTACTGAACAATCAAAGCTATAAGAACTTTTCTACTGTAAAAATTTTTGACAAAATCTAGTATCTCTTTTTTATCAAGAACATAAAAACTTTTTTATAAGTCTTTTTATAAGTTCTTTGAAAATTTAACGCATAAAACGTTACAAAAAAATAATTGTATTAAAACATATAAATAATTAAAGACATTATTAAACATTAATTTTCTTCGGTTGTGTCATGGTACCTTAAACGGGAATCAATAAGTTTTTCTTTTAAATATGTTAGTGTTAAAAATGTCTACAAATTGAACTTCACAAAAGGAAATTTTTTCTCAATTTCAAATTAATAAAATTATCATTTACGAATAGAATACCGTTGAAATTAAAAAATTATCTAAATCGTAGCAAAAGCAAAATAACATTTTTTAAATTATTCACAATTTTTAATCAAATTACTTTTTTGCAACTTTCATACACAATTTTTTCACAAAATATCTAAAGATTACGTTTTTGAAAAATTTTTTTAGCACCTTTAGTCTCCAATTAATAATAAACGTTTTATTAGAAGTATTTTTCTGTGTAAGAAAATCCTATAAATTCTTAATACAGTCAATTAAATATGTTTTGGACATTATTTTCATTTAGATTTTCCAAGCGTTTTAATTAATCGTTCGGCGTACCTTTCATTCGCGTGTCCCAATTATCGAGACAGCACGTCATGGATATTGATAGTAGTTTACGTGCACCAATTAATACTTCGATATCGATACTGAATCTGTGAACTCTGTGACAGAACGGAGAAAGGACCCGGATCAATTTTTTCCGATCGATTTCAACGCGATGATGCAATTAGCGTACGAGAATAACAATATCACTGCTGCATTAAAAATATGCATTTTTGTGTGCATATATTCGTTTAAGTGTTTTTTATTTGTTCTTTATTTGAAGTATCGTACGTGCTGCATAATTTATTTCGTCACAACTGAATAAATATTTTGTTTCACATATTGTGACTGCAAAGACGAATCGTGGAAATATATCGAAAGGTATTATACATGATATACAACATTTCCATGCCAAGTGTTATTCGAACAGTTAATAGAAGATAAATATTTAAATTGACTAAATTACATTTAGAGCTGTCATAGTCCATAACCGCAGTTATTAAATTAATCATTATCTGCTCATAACTTTAGGAAATTTGCATTATAAAAGATATCTTTAGCAAAAAAAAAACCTCTTAAATATCTGTTTAAACTTTTTTATTTTCTTCAATAAAAGTTTTAAGATAATGACAAAAAAACACAATTTTGTTTGTGCAAACATTAAAATTTGAATATACATATTTTTTAATAAAATGACATTTGTAATTAATAAAAATTTATAAAACATATCATAAACTATCTTTTTGTTTTGAGAAAAAATTAAATCAGATTATTTTATTTGACAATTTGTCACAGCTGTAAACATAGCTTACTTTATTTTTTTGATTATACATATTTCATTTATTAATATATGATTATTTACTAATTCAAGAAATAAAAAAAGAATTTTTTATAGATATATATTTTACAAATCAATCCTATCGAGTTTTTATTATTGATTAAAACATATTTCCATATTAATATATCTTGCAAAATTATTCTATTTTATTTTGTATTTTATAGTTTTCGACATCACAATCTGAAATGGTAATGATGAGAAAACAGGATCCTTAAATACTTTAAATTATGTTTAAATTGATATATCAAAGTAAAGTGAATTAATTAATTAACATTTTTTATAATAATTATTAACTTTGGTATAAAAATCATTAGAGTACCTAATTTGTGTAATCTGTTGTCTTTTGATATTGTTTAATATCAAATATTTTGTTTGTTTCTAGGTGTCTAAAGAAATATTTGAAAATCGAATGCGCAAAAGTATTTAGCACACCTAATATTATATAAGAATATAGAATTACACAACATATAGTTATACGATTGTCAGGTCCCGAGCACTGTACAACTGAGGCTCGAAGATCCGTGCGCTGGAGAGTTCATATTTTGACTGGAAGCCGGCATTCATTCATTGAAAAAAAAAAGAGAAAAGAAAGACGTAAGGTTCGTGTTTTGCGACCACTGTTACAGATTTTCTTTTTGTTATTAATATTTGACCAACATAAAGTGTCAACACAATTATAGAGACTATTTTATTATTATTACAAGATTATATACAGTGCAAACACAATTACAAATTTTTTTATTATTCGTAAAATAACATAAACTGCAAATATAATTACAGACTTTCTTATTGCTTTCCGTGTAATTTAAATACGCAATTGATAAATATCTTACGTGAGCGAAAAACTAGAGAATTTTCCCATCTGCTGGAGAACTGGAGATTAGTCCTGAAAATTGGAAATCGGAATCTCCAGTCATCTGGAGATCTGACAACTGTGCACATAGAATTATGATTGAATTTAATTTAGAATATGCTTTTCGGTTTTTTTGTTTGGATCATCTATAAGTAAATCATTTTTCTACAGTCAAATATAAAATTGGACATGATAATTTGACATTGTACAGTACGTTGCCAAGTCTGTCAAGTCGGTAGACTAAAACTTTACAAAATCAATAACCAATCGCACGCCACGCAGTCACGTAAGCGCATTCAGTACCATAGCACTGAGTTTTTAGCATCCTTTCCTTTGAATACTTACTCTTCTAAAACTTCATTTGTTGCTCTTTCGAAGGAATGTTTTTGCAAAGCCACTTCGATTACTACTGATATTAAAAGCTGTTGTGAATTTATATCTTTCCTTTTTTAATTTTATTGATAGCTGATTCCATTATCCCCATAAGTCTCCCTTCTCTTCTAGATAATCCTTTGCAAAATTTTCAATTACTTCCAACTTTGTTTTAATAAAGTTAAATTTTTCCGCGGTTTTATTCTGTTCATTCTTTTTCAGCTTCATATTCGTTTATTATGTATTTTATTTTGATATCGCAAGTATCTCGCATCGAGTTCGCACATATTTACACGTACGCCACTGTCAGTTTCTATTTCTCAAATCCTCCATAAACTTATCGCCCGCTGGAGAGAGAAAACTCAACTGATACAATCGGACTTGACAGAATCGGCAACGCACTGTAATAAAAAATTTTCCGATAAATGTAAGATAAATTTTCTGTTTATTGCATATGTACAGTAAATCATAAAAAAATTCTTACATATTGATACATATGTACGGTAAATCATAAAAAAATTCTTACATATTGATAAAGTATAGCCTACAGCGTAATGAATATAAAATATCAATAATTATATAAAAATTAAAATATAAGAATAATACGTTTATTTTTTTTCTTTTTTTTTATTATATTACTCAAAGTTACCATATTTTTATTAGTTAGTCATTAATGATGTTATAAATTTAGAAAATGAAAAAAAAGAGACACGATATGTACGATAAATTATTAAAAAATTTGTTACATATGATTACATTGATATGTGTATAACTTGCGGTGCAAGCAATAAAAACTTCTTACCATATTATTAGTACGTGTTTTTTTTTCAGAAAATCTCTTTGAAATCTTTCTTCTGAGCCATTTGAGTAGATGACATTTATTATCATCGCCCTTTTTTTATTTAACAATTTATTTTGTTGAAAAAAATCTAAATAATTTGCATGATTTTCAAAAAATTATTATATTAACTTTATGCTCAATAAATATCAAGTATAGAGATATAATACGATAGATAAATATGCAATAAGGTATCTCCGGCAAATATACCGCATTGGGATTTACGCCGCAGAAATCAGAAAAAATAGAAGGAGTGGAGATAATTTTTTCCCGCAACTAATCTGTTACATGCCTTTATGTTATATTAGTACTGTGATACAATTTCAGTTTCTTACTGTTAATATTAATGAAATTATTGTGAGTTGAATTGATTTGTCACTGTTCAATAGCGTCATCATAAATTATAATCTACATAAAAATTTTTTTGTTATTGTGCAAAAGACTTAGTGATTATTTCGTGATACATGAGTGTAGAGGCATAGTAAAGCATGTTATATAACAAAATACTTTGCTCTTGTATTCTTTATTTAGTTTTTTGTCTTGTATATCCCACTTGTTTGGAATATATGCATTTTTAATAGGCGGGATTTATGCCCAAAGTATACAAAGTGCACAGATTGAATTCAGTGCACTAAATACAATAAACGCATTACATTAAATATGTATCTTATGTTATAATATATGTAGGAATTGTAATTATTATTTATTACTTCATATACATATTTATTATTCTTATTCCTTAATAAAACTTTATAAACGCATTTTATAAGTTATTGTGTCACTTTTCTTATTTATATGCATCATTTTTAAATTTTTCATGAGCCGTACATAGGCCTTCCCCCCTCTCTCCTATGAGTAGCCATATATCCATATAGCTATGAGTCGTATATCCCTGTGAGATATACGACAAAAATGTAAGAGTTTAAAAAAGTTTATTTTTTAATACGAAATATTATAAATATTTCAGATTTCTAATATTTTTTTTATAATAGTATACAGTACAAAGTTTTTACTGATATAGTTCGTTTACTTTAAACATAGTAAATAATACTTAATAAATTACATTTTTGATAGGTGCGGCGTATATATCGGAGTTACCCTAAATAGACCTAGAACGATTAAAAAATCTTCGTCTTTAAAGATATAATCAAATACAATGCAAATTAGAAGTCACTGCAAATGAAAATTAGATAATGTCTGTTTACAAGCATTATATTGTATTCAAACATAAAGAAAAAATTAATTTTTAAGAAATACAATTGCATTCCTGAATTATATAATAAATACGTATAGCATATCGGCAATAAAAACGTATTTATTATTGATACCATGACATATTTTATCCATAAAAATAATATTCTTTAGGTTACATAAAAAATGCTATTTGCATTTCTTATGTAACCTTCTTATATAAAAAAAAAAATTTCTTTCGCGTAGATAGTAGTACTATTTTAGAATGCAATACTTCTCACCTTTTCATACTTAAAAAAAAGTAACCTTTTCGTGATCGGTT